ACAAACCTCATTTGTCTTTTGTGTTTCTTTGGAATCTTCTTCAGGATGCTCATATTTCTTTTGCCAACTATCTTCAACATGCCTAAAATAGATAGTCAAAGCATTAGAAAAATGTCGTAACAATTTAGTCTAACCCATCAACTCTCAGACTATCAGTTTTTAAACTAAGAAAAAAATAGACATTTGCACACTAAAGCATCTAACAAGAACTTGCTGCATAACCTTGGGCAAGTCATTTAACACAGTAAGCTTCTATTTCTCCATATGCAAAATGGGGATAATACTTACCTACTTCACAGATGTGCTGTGAAGATTAATTAATGTCTGTACAGTGCTTTGAAATGTAAAGTACTACACAAGTATTAGTACTGTTAAGCATGACTAGGTGTCCCCTGTAACTTGGATGAGCAAAGAGAACCACTGCACAGACGAAAACAAACATCCCTGCCTGTATCCTTACTCTACTGCTTTCTACAGAAAAGAATTTTTAAAATACTGAATTGATCTTCCACAAACTTGGCTTCTTATGTATGTCTCGAGACTTAAAAATCAAGCCAAATCTGAAGACTGTGCTGATACTCTTTGTAAGGATGCATAACACATTCCAGTTTGCACTGCACCATGCATTGGGAGGAAGGAATGCAAGCCAAAATAGGGAAAGAACATGTTAAAGAATATTTAGATAAATTAAATGCATTCAAGTCAGCAGGGGCTGATGAAATACACCTTAAGAAACTAGCTGAAGCAATCTCAGAAGCCTTAGCAATTACCTTTGAGAATTCATGGAGGATGGGTGAAGTCCCCGGGTATAGGAGAAGGGAAAACATAGGTACCTATCTTAAAAAAAGAGGACCAAAGAGGACTCGGGGAATTATATATTTGTCAGCCTAACTTCAATACATGGAAAGATACTGGAACAAAATTATAAAACAATCAATTTGTAAACACCTAAAGGATAGGGTAATAAGTAATAACCATGCCAAACTGACCTAATTTGTTTCTGTGACAGGGTTACTGGCCTAGTGGATGGGGTGGGCTGCGGGGGAGCTGTGGACATGATACATCTCGGTTTTAAGCAAGGCTTCTAACACAGTCGCATTTTCATAAGCAAACTAGGGAAATGTGGTCTAGATTAAATTAGTATACTGCAGGTGCACAACTGGTTGAAAGACTCAAGTGTACTCAGGAGTGTTTTCAGTGGTTTCTGTCAAACTGGGAGGACATATCTAGTAGGGTCTGTCTTGGATTTAGTACTATTAAATATTTTAATTAATTATCTGGATAGTGGAGTGGAGAGCATCTTATAAAATCTGTGGATGAAATCAAGCTGAAAGGGATTTCTAGCACTTTACAGGACAGATTAGAATTCACAACAACCCTGACAAGTTGGAGAATTAGTCTGAAACCAACAAGGTGAAATTCAATAAAGACACTTAAGAAGGAAAGAATTCCAATGCACAACTACAAAATTGGGAATAACTTGCTAGGTGTGGCTCTGTTGCAAAGGATCTGGGGGTTATAGTGGACCATAAATTGAATATAAACCAACAATGCAATGCAGTTGCGAAAAGGGCTAATATAATTCAAGGGTATATTAAAACAGGAGGACTGTATGTAAGACATAGGAGGTACTTGTCCCACTCTGCTTGGTACTGGTGAGGCCTCCACTGGAATACTGTGTTCAGTTCTGGGTGCCAAACTTTAAGAAAGATGTGGACAGATTAGAGAGTTCATAGGAGAGCAACAAAAAATGATAAAAGGTTTAGAAAACCTTACCCATGAGGAAGAGTTAAAAAAACTGGGCATGTTTAGGCTTGAGAAAGACAACTGAGGAGGGAACTGTTAATAATCTTCAAATGTGTTAAGAGCTGTTATAAAGAGAACTGTGATCAATTGGTCTTCATGTCCACTAAAAATAGGACAAGAAGTAGTGAGCTTAATCTGCAGCAAGGAGATTTAGGTTAGATATTAGGAAAAACTTTCTAACCATAATTGTAGTTATGCTTTAGAATGGGCTTCTATGGGAGGTTGCAGAAAGCTCATCATTGTCTAACCTGTTTTTTAAAACCTCCAAACACTTGTCAGGGATGGTCTAAGTATCCTTGGTTCTGTCTTGGCACAGGGGGCTAAACTAGATCAGGGGTTCTCAACCTCTCTCTCTCTCTGAGGTCCCCCCAACGTATTATAAAAACTCCATGGCCCATATCTGCCATAATAACGGTTTTCAGCATATAAAAGCCAGGGTTAGCATTAGAGGGTAGCAATCAGGACAACTTCCCGGGCCCCATGCTGCTCCATGAAGCTAAGTTGCTCAGGCTTCGGCTTCAGCCCTAGAGGGTGGGGCTCGGGGCCCCAGGCTTCAGCCCCATGGGATGGGGCTTCAGCTTTCTGTCCTTGGCCCCAGAAAAATCAAATACTGGCCCTGCTTGGCAGCTCCCCTCAAACCTGCTTGCGGCCCCACAGCGGGGTCCCAGAACCCTGGCTGAGAACCACTGGACTAGATGACCTCTTAAGGTCTCTGAGTCCTACATTTTTATGGTTCTATGACTAAATTAATAAATAATTTATATTAAAACAATTAGTAAGGCATAAGCCCAAGGAGAAAGAATTAAAGTACAAATCTCAGGCTTAACGCTCCACTTCATGATTACCAAGTGGTGAATTTCTCAGCCTCAATTACACCTCATACACTTTTATTTTCATTGTATGTTTTAAACTGAATGTTTGTGAAAGGTTAAAGAAATATACATAATCAGGCAATGAATTAGTTTGGTTGCATTATCGATTGAATTGACAGTGGAAGACCATTAATTCACTTCAGCAAACTTCACTGGTTAATTCACTCTTCCCACACCCACCGTGCTCAGAGGCACTTAGGACTGGAGAGAGAAACCAAGAGAGAGACAGGTGGTGAGCTGGGGGCTGGAAGTCTGACATTAGAAGGATCACAAAAACACACACTTAAATGCACATAAAAAAAAGGTGATCAGAGGCATTCAGAATACATACTTTAATTATACTGTAACATAGCAGGAGCTGGCTACTAGGGGGTTATCAATACATTAAACTAGAAGCATAGTAGTTAAATGGGAAAACCCCATGATAAATTAAAATAAATATCTTAAAATAAATAAATCACATTTTTTGTCTCAAATTAAGCTTACTTCCCCCAAATATTTTTGCATGCTTTAAGGGGAAATTGTTATAATGGATATGTGGTGACTGAAAAAGTGAAGAGAAGTTTTTTTTATAAGCAAAAGTGAGTATGTATTAATCTAATTTTTTAAAAACAAATATAAGGAATACCTTGAATCTCTTTTTCTTTTCCTGCTCAGGGCTACTTTTTTTTCTAAAAACTTCTGTTCTTTAAGAACATCCTTAATGCTGGTACCAGTAACTTTCATTTCAAAATCTTTTGTTGAAGACTCTTCCAAGTTCAGGCCACTTTTACCTAAAATATGCAACAAACAGTTACAGTGTTTGAGAAGCGTGTCTTTTTATTATTTTTGTAAGTGACATTGTAAACAGTTTGGGAATTACTAATCCTGCTTTTGTTATGTTTCAGGAATGTCACTGTGGACATGAAAAAGTTACATATGGAATTTTGCACGATACAGTACTTAGTTATAATATTATGAGTGAAATTCTGGCCATATTGAAGTCAACTGCAAAACTCTCAATGACTTCGAAGGAACCAGAATTTCACCTTATTTGGTTAAAACAACCAAGTCTAACTTGTAATTTTAACGTCACCTTCAGCACCCTGACTCCCACTTTTCAGAGACTTTGTTTTCTCTGCAGCTTTCTGTTTACGCTTCTCTTCAAGTCTCTCTCTATTAATCTGCCTCCTTAAGAGTCTCTCTTCTTTTTCTCTGGCCTGAAGACAGAAAAACAATGAAAAGGGTGATTTATTTGTATCATTAAACCAAATGAAGAATGATGAAAGTTGTTAAAAAAAAAAAAAATCAAAAAACGTTATACAAGTAAATTTCTATGCTTCTGCAGAATTCAGCGTTTCAGTACAAGAGCAAAAAAAAATAAATCAGTAACTTCTCAAATAGTGCTGTTTATAGTTTACAAAGTGCTGTACAAACTTTTAATTAAAAGTAAACCTCATAAAATACTTCGAGATATTAACTCCTTCCCGAGCCTATAAGGTTTTATCCCCATTCTACAAGTGGAGAATGGGCAGGCACGGAGGTTATGATTCCATGTCAGAGATAGCATTATGCTAGGATGTTCCTGGTTCCCAGCCCCAATTTCAGTCCACTAGACAAGGCTACCTCCACTTTCAAAGAATTTTACAATTCTTTTCTTTCATCCCTCAACTCTGTTGTACATAAGAATTACATGGCCACACCTAGAGCCCAGTTTAACCCAGTGGTATTGTGGTGCATAAACCAGAAAAGCTGCATAAAATGAAAGTCCAGCAAGCCAGTCTATCCTGGAAAGGTTAGGGGATGGGAGTGGAGTAGTAGAGGATGAGAAACTCAATAGATTTGCTGGTTGAGATGGGAAGGTTTTTCCCCATTCTACAGGTGAAGAAACAAGCACAAAGACTATGAGACTTGCTTCAAGTACATGTCCAAAACATGTAAATGAGATCCCAGCCCTCCAACCAGGCCAACGTGTACACCTGAACATCTCTTCCCCCTCATGCTGGTCAGAGACAGCAGGAATTACTGCAGCTGAAGGGCTGTATTAACTGCATTACATGGAAGAGGAGCGAGGAAGATGGTTGGGGCCAAACAGGTACCAGTTCTTGTTATATTAAAGATATGTACAATCCACCTTGATAGATGGTGGTAGGTAGATAAGGGATTTCTTCTCTTTCCCCTTCCCTCAACTGGCAGAGTACACTCAGCTTGCTGGCCCCAGACTCCCCCATCTGTGCAGTCTTTTTCACTTCATTCTTCTCCAAATTACTCAGTTAGCCAAGAAAGAATCCATCCTTTGCTGAGATGTTGGGAAGACACCGCACACTCAGTGCTTCATCTGACATTATCATCAGCCAGAGTTTGTTGTAAAACAGGAGGAGCTGGATAGTTAGATAAGCCAGTAGTTCTCAAATGACTGTCAATGGATCACTGCCATGAAATATTGACAGACCACATGTTGCTGGAGACAGTCTATAGAAGTATCAGCGGCATCCAGGGGAAAAAACAAACTTAATAAAGGGCATAATTTTTGTATTGAGAAAACGATCAGATGGAGTTAAAATGTTAATAGTGATTGTATTAAAACTTACAATAGACTGACGGTGTTGCTCTACAGTCCGTTCATCATCGGAATCACTGTAGTACTTGGAGTACAGAAAAGGCTTGTGAACATATGCGTGACGGACAGGTTTGGCTTTTCCATCGCAAACCTCATTAGTCTGAGGCTTTGTTTTACTCTGATTGTTCTTCTCTTCTTCATCTAGACAGTAAAAAAGCGGACGTAAATTTAAGTGACATTGTTATGGTAAAATTTAAGCTTTGTAAAAACGAACTTCCATAAAATCTAAGACCAAGAGAAATGTTTCCTTTAAAAAAATGGTTTCAAAGAGATTCCAATTCAGTGTTTACAGCCAAATGTTACTAAAGTATGAGAAGTGATCAATCCATTCACATTGTCGAGAGAAAAATGCAAAATATAAATAAACTGCACAAACACAGAGAAGCAATTAGATTTAAAAATTCATTCCATTTTGGTACTATAAAGGTGTCATTTAACACAGTTAAGGACATTTTATATATAATTTTAGCCATGACAAATTGTGTACAGCATTACATCAGCTATGGCTAAATTTTGTAACGAAGACAATCCCCACGTGTATTTTGGGGATGCAGATACACTGCATTGGTAAAGCCTCATCTGTAAAAATCAAACATTATTCACATACCAAAAAAATCAGCACAATATTTGTGGATTTAGAAATCATGGATTTTTTCCTGTACAGGAACTATACAAGTGACCTAAGTTCATATATGGATCAGTTAATGCTGAGGTACTATGCTGATTGAAATAACACAAGCAAATCTATCATTTTATTTTGTCAGGTTTTTTCAGTAAATATACATACTGTATGTTTGGGCTTTACCAATGCAACAGAGCTGCATCCCTGAAATACATTACAAAATTTAGCCATAACTGACAATGCTGAATCCAATTTGTCATGGTTTACGTTGACTGCACAGTTACAGACAATGTCATGTTAGTTAACTCAATTCTTCCCACTCATTTCTGGGCACAATGAAATTTTACAGTGATGACAGGCTTACAGAAGACTACTGAAATGGTTCCAAAGCAGTCAATCCAAACCAGGAGAAAATTCTGTTGACTACAGAAGCCTCCATATTCCCTAAAGCCTCAATGTATCAAAGAATTGTAGAGCTGCCCAGAACTAGGAGAGGACAGAAAGATCTCAAATGAGGACCCCCCACATCCACTAATCCTAAATCTGGACCTATCCCCATCTTCTCCACCAAAATCACGTAGCCTTTGGGAATTCCTGCAATCCTAGGGCTGTAACAACTCCCTGATCCCCAAATGGTCTGCTCACATTACACCTGGGTTCAAGTCAGAATATCAGTCTAAGGCTACGTCTACAATACACACCACTGGCAGTGCCACATAGTGTACATGCAGCTACACGCTGCAGTGAAAAGCAGGCTGAGTCCCACTGTGGTGTGTAGTTTCATGCCAGTGCAAGGCTCTAGCAGGGGGAGACAGCAGGGAAAGGCTTCAACAGCTCCCTGCCTTTCACTGCAGCAAGGAAAGGCTCCAGCAGTGGGGTGCTGGCAGAGTCATTCCCTGCCGCCTTCTCCCTGCCAGAATCTTTTCCTAGAGCAGGGAAAGACTCCAGCAGTTCCCTGTGGTGGGGAAAGGCACTGACAGCAGGGAGATAGCAGGACACTACTCTGCTAAAAACAGCAGTCAACAGAATTTTCTCCTGGGTAGGATTGACTGCTTTGGAACCATTTCGGTAGTCTTCTGTAAGACTGTCATCACTAAAAACAGCAATGTAGATAAGGGAGACACAGGCTTGAGCAAATAGACAGTCTTGTAGGATATGTACTCGGGTACATACCCACACCCTTCAGGCATGTCTCTACTCAATTCACCTAAGCTGTGCTCACCTCTACACTGCTATTTACATTCATACTAAGGGGAGCAACCCATGTATGCACGCCCCATGCTGCGGAAAGAAGCATGCAGTGCAGATGTACATTTACACAAACTTCACATAAAAGGAAAAAAATAATAAAAAACAGCACAAAAAGTAGAAGGCATTTTTATGAAGTGTCACCACTACATCCTGAAATAATACACACAAATAACAATTTTAAAGTACTGGACTATATAAATACTTTTTATTTTAAAATGCCAAATTATCTATTTTGACTATTATTTACTAACAGCAGAAATGCTATGAATTCCACCCCCAAAAGAAATATTCTCTATTATCACACTACACATATATGATAAAATATACTTCAAAATAGATTAGTCTGTAAGGTACTATGTATTCAAATGGCAGGAAATACACCAGCCAGGATATTGCTAACAAATGTATTCTTTTTATATTATTTTTACCATCTGATGTGATCTCTCCTTCTTCAGTGCTATCGGAAACCACAGCTTCCTCTTCACTTTCTTCTTCAAAGGAAGAGAGGTCACTGGTATGGACAGAGCTAACAGTGATATCACTGAGTACATCCACGTCTGAATCCTCCAAAATATGTTCTTTAAAAAAAAAGAAGAAAAAAAAAGTTATACCATGCAATTTATCAAATCAATGTGTTTAGCAAGCAAGATTTAGGCTTCTCTTACAAGTCCACCTTTTCAGATGAAGGCTCTGGCCTTTGTGGGGGAAAGCTAGCATTACTGTTGATTTTATACTCTTACTGTTCCATGGCTAGTTAAAGAGGACTACAGTTACCAATATTGTTGGCTCAACATCTTTTCACTTTCTAAATTCACCTTTGAAAACCCCCACACCAACACAAAATGTCCCTCCATCCCACAATACTTTTTAAGTTGCCTTTTCTATACCTTCTTTTACAACTTCTGTTATCTTGTGTTTACTGCTGCTTTTTTCAGGAGCCAACTGTTTTACTGATTCTGCCTCTCTCTCTTTCACTTGCTTCTCTTCTTTTGCTTTTAGGGCATCATCATTCTTCTTTGAATGGTCAAACTTCTTGTCATTCTTTTCTTTTTTCTCTTTTTTTCTTTCCCCTTTCTCGGTGCTCTCTGGTTTCCTGTCACCTTTATCTGTTAATTTACTTTTCTGGTCATCACTTTCCTGTAGAATTTCTTTGCTTGGTTGAATTAAATTGTTAACATCTTTTGTTGAATTTTTGATTTCTTCACTTGGACAGGGGAGTTCATTTAAATCTTCACACTTTGCAACTGCTTCACTTCCTTCTGAAGAATCACAAACGGGTTTCTCTTGGTCTGGCAAGTCTTCTGAGTTTCGTTCTCTCTCTGTGCTACCATCAACACTCTGTTGAGATGAGAGCCTTTTTGAAGTTCTGTCACTGTTCTTGGAATTTGTATTCTCTGTTGAAGCCCTGGCAGCACTTGCTTCCTGGTTAAGAGAAGTTATTGTTTCCAAAATGGACATGGCATCACTAGCTACATTAGCACTAGGAGCAGTAGTAGAAACGCCTTAAAGAATGAGAAAAGAAATAAAACGTTTTAGCTAACCAAGTTTTCCATAACATTTGTTAAAAGGAAATATGTATTTCTACACTGACTGGTTATTATTTTTGAATGGGAAGGACTTTTCAAATGAAACTCAAATCTCAGAAGTCTGTTAGGGAAAAATTGAATAATTAGACTATTATAATACCTTAATTTTGTCCCTTCTGCATATGTATCTTAAGGACAGCCTAAATGCCCCAAATCTTTCCAACAAAAGAACTGCATTAAGACAGTTACATCTCAGTACATAATTGGCTACTCATCTTTTATAGCATAGACCCTACTTGATCCTGTTGTGAACGTCAGTATTTAACTTTGAGACTGTCACTTCTAGGACAGACTGATTTCCTGGTAACTTCAAGTAGTGGTGAAATTGTGATAAGTGTTCGCCTCTTCTCCCCACCCCTCACAGCAGCAACAAATCAGTAACCTGGGCTATTCTCTCTCACAAAGCTCATCTTGCTGACACCTCAAATATTTAGTGTTAACAGCAGAACTAGTGATGATCAATACCACCACTTGCCAAGAGGAGAAAACCAGGTAGAAAACAGTCAACACAGAGTAATGGCAAAATACCTTGTACTGTGATGGAAGCATCTGCTTTTTCCTCACTAGGGGCTGTACTGGGGCTTGCTTCCTCTTTGTGATTTAATGTGGCTAAAAACTCATGAACAGCTTTTTCCACCTGAGGTCTGAATGTGTGGTTGATCTTTGGATCCACAACCTGAGAAATAATTCTGTCAATTCCAGACTCCAACATTCCAGACCTGAAACAAAATCATTTTAATACTTAAATATAAGAAAATTTATTCCCACAAGCTACCTTAAACAGGTCTGGTTTATCTAAAGGGTGTTCCTTCCACACACACAACTTCTAATAAAGCACTAAGTTCTCAGAAAGTAATTTTTTTTCACTTGCTTCAGGAACACCCATAGCGGACTTGTGTCTAGGTAGTACTCAAAACGTCTATCAACACACATAGGAATAAACTGTTCCTGTCCAAAAAAAAAGCTTGCAGAATATGAAAGATAGTAATAAAAACTATACCAGCAGCCCTTTTACCATGCCATTACTAGCTAACTTCTTGTAGGCACTGCAGTAATAGTGGGTTTTGGGCAGGGACTTATATAAGAGGGTATTTATCTTTATAAATCAGTTTGAGGAGGGTATTCCATGCAGAAGGGGCAACCTGGAATGTGTCAGCACTATATCATTTGTCTTCATAATCCCAATGTCAGGATTTCTCAGTATGACATTAGGTGACAGCTACTAAACAGTGGAATTCAGATAATTAACTTACCTGTATTTAATAGAAAGGTTAAGTGTTGAACCAGTTAGGCCATTAGGAAGCGATCTTTTGTTCATCACACTCTAGAAAATTGCATAGGTTGTCTGTGGCTACACCTCACTTGGGACCTGGTTTCCATTTATGGTGTTATCAAGTCTGAACTACAAAACACTTGTCTTTGCTCTATCCTCAAGTGCTGATTCCTACAACTAACTTATGCAACAGGTGGCAAAGGCTCACTATTCACACCGCCAGTACTTTTGTTCTCACGTTTCTCATCTGTCACTAAAGTTGACAGGAAGACACCCCTAATCTGCACACGTTAGTTTGGAGCAACATTAGGCTGCTTCTTATATTAGTCTATCTGGCAACACTAGGCAGAGAAGAATGAGTGTTCATGGCACAAATTGTGGTCACTGTAAATGCTTATTCTAAGTTATTTTGATAGGACTGTTTACCAGCAGTCTTACAAAACTTTTTAGCTGTCTGTAGAAATCATGTCTGTCCAAGGATTCTTGTTTTGTAAACATGACTTTGAGCAATTGACTTGTGCTTCAACATACATGGATTATTATATCCACAATCCTATTAATAACCCAATATTTAACCCACAAAACCTAACAACAACTAGTAATTTGGCTGAATCACCTACTTATGAGGTAGCAGTAGTGCTAGAATCCCTACATGTGAGGGTATTACAACATCACACGACTGACTTTGACCATTATAATCTGATTCAAGATAAGAAAATATTCTCTCTTCGTAGAAGTTGTGGAACTTCTTTGTCTATTTAAGTTTTCAGTCACCTGTCACTGGGGGATGAATACCTTTTAAAACAGCAGAATATTAACTCAACTTGTGACTTACTTGAGAACCTGCTGCCTAATATTATTTCTCAGCTGATTCTTGTTGAGATGAGGACTCCAAGTGTGAGTTGCCAGGTGGTTGGAAACAAAGTTGTCGACACGTTGTCTCAGGTTTTGATAGGCAGGCTAAAAGGGCAAAAAAAGTGAGATCAGATATTAAAAAAAAAAAGCTGCTTGAAACTCATTTTCCTAATGACAAGGGCTGAGAAACTTAAAAAACCCTAGATCTTAACTGCTGAGTCAATACAAATACCAGGACACAGTCTCCCATCCTCTGATGGGCAAAGACCATATACTAAAACCTATTTACCTATAACAGTTTTATGACTCGTATTGGAAGCATGTTTCTATAACCTACATAAACAGCATGTTCCTCTAAAACCAGTGCCCACTGACCAGCCTCTCTAAACAAACGACACGATCTTGCTGAAGTCAGACACTGGCAACTGATGTCAAGGGGAGCACACTGGAGAGCTCATTCCTTGGGCAGGTAGAACAAGGAACCGCCACGGATCTGTCGCTAACGAGGATGTCAGCGGTCTAGTGCAAGAGGCAAAGCACTGATGTGTCCCCTGCCCATGGGGAGCGATATTCCCCGGACACACTAGCCAGGCAGGAGTCTCCGCAACGCTGCGAACACCCGCCGGCTCCGTGTCCGGGGCAGCCCTGCCTCGCCGAGCTCCGGCAACACTCGCCGCTCACCAGAGAAGACCCTGTTGCGCGTCTCGAGGAGACAGCCAGCCCCCCACCCCACCCCCGACCGGGGCGACCCCAGCCCAGCCAGCGGAGGGGGATGTTCCCGCAGAGCCGGGGCAGGTCTGTGTCCCTCACCACCTCCTCAGACCTGGCCATCCTCCGCCCCATACCTTGGTGTCCACGTCGGCCAGGCAGTCTCGGCGGAACTGGTCGAACAGCCCCTGGCTCTTCAGGTGATTAACGATCACGGACACCAGCTCGGGCTCCACCGCGCCGCCCCCTCCGGAGGCCCCGGGCAGCGGCGGCTGCTGCTGTGGGGGCGGAGGAGGAGGCGGCGGAGGAGGGGGCTGGGGCTGCGGGTTACTGGCCATGGGGGAAGCGGGGCCTTCAGAGAGCGCGGGCAGCTGCCGGCTCCGCTGCCCGGGCTCCAGGCAAAGGCTGGTTACCGAGTAGCAGCCGCGGCAACTCTGCCCCGGAAGTGAAAGGGAACGGGGGGAGGAAGCGAGAGACAACGAGCGGAGAGGAGCAGCGACCGGGAGCGGCGCCACGGCTGCGGGGAGGGGCTGATTCGCACAGTGAAAGGGGCGCTGCTACTAGCCCTTTAAGGGGACGATGGGGAGGAGCGGCCGTTGCCCCTGGTCCCACGGCGGGAACATCCGAGCCGAGCTCTCCGGCTCTGGCCTCCCCTGGCGCAGCCCCATCGCTGCGCGCAGCAGCGCCGCCTTTCCCAGCCGGTTGAGCTAGCGGCGCTTCCAATCCTCGCTCCGCCCCTGCCTGCCACGGTGCGGGTCGCCGGGATGCCCTGACAGCGCGCACCGGGGAGAAATAGGAGGGGGAGGGACGACTGGTTCTGAGCATGCGCATATGAAGTGAGCATGCTCAGCCGCGGCTGCTGAAGCCGCTGCCCTGACTTGGGCATTGCTGCTCTCCGGAACCTAGCGAGGCAGGTCTCCGGGGGGGTCTGGGCAGGGGCCCGAAGGGCTGGCCCAGGCTGGCCAGACCCCTGGCGGCAGGGGAAGGGCTGAGGGGCACAATCAGGGATGGGGGGTTAGGAGGCGGGGTTGAGCACGGGGTGCAGGCGGGGCAGGGGGGCTCCTCCCCATTGCAGGACAGTATGTCTTAGCTCCCGCCTCCCAGGGCCCTGGTCTCCAAAGCACAGCTCTGCCCTATCTGATATCCTGGACTGAGCGGGTAACGGAGACGTGATTCAGTGACATATCCTACCTACCCTCCCTCCATCCCTCTGAAAATTAGCATGGTCACTGTTTAAACGCACCCCTTGTCAGCTTCTATGTCTGTATAAAGCCTCATCGCACTTCACAAATGTGTCTGAGCTGCATTTCTCACTGCCTGAATTGGCCTCCCCTTTTTCTTGTAATCGCCTGGAAGTCAAGTTTCGCTCCTTTAAATTCTTTATTTTTAAACTCTTATTTTTATTACTCTTAGCACTTCATTCACCTTCGTTAACCCATGGCAGAGGAATGCCATTGTGCTGTTTAGATGATATTTTAGGAGCAATAATTATTTTAAAATATTCATAGTTGCTAGTAGGTTCAGCAATCACATCTCAGTGTTTCTAGTGTAGCACTTCCTGTTTGTATTGTGACATTAGTTTTTAATTCTGTGTTTTTTTTATCACATCAAGGCTGACTGATTTCCAGGATTGATGTCAAACTTAAGTTTCCTTTAATCCACCAGTCAAGATTGCTTTTGACAACTGTTATTTTGCCTTGCTATCCAGCACCCTCCTCCTTTGTCACATGTTACCACTTGTGTGTAGAATATGGTTCGCAAACAGTCTCTACAGGCCAGATTTTTAAAGGTTGAAAGTGTCTCGATGCTTTTGAAAGTCCCACTAATCACCTAAATACCTTTAAAAATCTGGCCCAGAGGGCACTATACTATCTTCTGTGAAATCCTTCTCAAACGTAAATTTCTATTGTAATTTTTTCTAAATATACGTATACAACCACAAGTATTCAAAAATCATGAGTTATGCACCCAAAAGTCACAAAATTAAAATAAATATATTTTAGGTTCTTTTAATTTGCCTTTTTGTTTCTGAGCCTTTAGGCTGCACTAGCTTCATACTTTTTCCATTACCTCTCCCAAAGAATCCATACACTTAAAACAGTTGTACATTCCTGTAACATTCAGAGCTGTTTTGGACTTCCAGTAAGATGTGATTTTTTTTCTCCGCTCCCCTTGTAAATGAAAACTTACTAAAAACCTGTAGTTCTGTAAGTAATTTGCCATCCTGCAAACACTGAAGTGCACACTTCACTCTTTCATTGCTTCATTGGTTACATACATAAATGTTAACATTTCTACTGAATTGTTTATGCATATTTTAATTTCATAGCCCTTTATTTATGCTTCATATTTTGATATGATATATTTTAGTGATGTTCTTCATTTTGACAAGTTTACTGCTCTGTTCTGCCAAAATCAAGGATTTTTAAAAAAAATGAATTATCCTCTTCCTACTTTGCATTGGTTGGATGGGCGGGGGGGGGGGCGGTAATGGAGCTGACCTCACCTAATTTGCCTTTTGTTGAAACTAACATGTCCTGTCTCTACCATGTTTTTACAGTGGGATAGCTAGTTGTCCCATGGTAAAAACTCATGTTTTCTTAGCACTGAGGACACAGACTGTATTGATGACTGAGATGTTAAATGAACCATTATTATTCATTGCTTGACAACTCTGATGCTGATTGTGTGGCTAAGGCTGCTCCTTTGCCAGCAGAGAGATTTGTGTCTGAGGCTACAGATACACTAGACAGTTTACAGCGGGGAAACTGCAGCAATGCAGCTGCACCGCTGTAAGCTGTCTAATGTCATTGCTCTAAGCTGACAGGAGAAAGCTCTCCCGTCGGCGTAACTACGCCAGCCCCGTGATCAGCGGTAGCTATGTCAGCAGGACAAGCTCTCGCACCAGCATGGTACTGGCTACACCAGCCCTTAGCTTGATGTAACTTGTGTCGCTCAGGGGGGTGGCTTTTTCATACCCCTGAGCAACATAAGTTAATCCGCAGTAAGTGCTAGTGTAGACAGCCTGAATATCTGCAGACCCCCATTTATGCAGGTGTCATGGAAAATCAGTTAAAAGCATTTTATACTAAAGGAATTAAGATATCGTCCCCCTATTCTCTTCCCTTATTGAACGATTATCTAGATTGTGTTACAGTAAAGGTGTGACGTTAAGGTGCATAAGTTACAGTGCAATACCGACAAACCCTGGTTCTTGGTGGGTGGGATTGAACCTAGGACCTCTGGAGCTTAGTGCATGAGCTGCTACCACGTGAGCAAAAAGCCAATTCGGTGTTAGCTAAGTCTGTAGAGCAGACTCATTTTATCTCTCCCTCCCTCTCTCTCCAAGTGGTCTCGGTGCCACTAGATGGGCTAGGAACACCATACCCAGGAGGTGTGTGGGTTACAACAGCATCTTAAACCTCTGTGTGGACGCTTTCATTCACTAGTAAAGTGGCCATTTATTGTGTTTACACCTTTCTTACATTATGATGGTAATATTAATTAATCCATTATTGTGATAGCCACAAAGTTGTGAAGACACAGTCTGATAGGCTGCAACAAAAATAATTTCAGCTTACCTAAAACATTGTGATGTTGTGTCTCAGTGCATCTGCAGAGTGTAGGGCTGATCACCTGGTCCAGAAACATCCATAAATAGGGTGTGGCAATCACAGGTACCGACTTACCAATGTGCCGGGGGGGCGGTGCTTGACCGCTGGCTCTGCCCCAGGCTCCGCCTCTGCCCACACCCCACCTCTTTCCACCCCATTCCATCCCTCCCCCCAGCACACTGTGTCCTCACTGCTCCCCTCTTTCCCCCCCAGAGCCTTCTGAACGGCATGAAACAGCTGATCGTGACAAGCAGGAGGTGTGGGGAGGGAGGGGGAGCTGCTGATCAATAGGGCCTGCCGATAGGCAAGAGATGCTGGGGGAAGAGGGAGGTGCTGATAGGGGACCTGCCAGTGGATGCCCAGCACCCACCATTTTTTTCCATGTTGGTGCCTATGGTGGCAGTTACTAGATGTGCTCTGTATTGTTTCTGAAGCTGTATAGGATGTTTTTATTGTAGGCAAGCCACTTGGGCAGTGTGATGGACTGTATCACTGTATTCACCCCTGTACGCCTATATTCACACTATTGTAATAATCTTTGTACAAGGTATGCTTGTGAGGTATCATTTCAGAACTCCTAATTTTCTTGTCATTATTGTCCTGGTAAAATGTGTGGCACCATTGTATGTAAAGTTATAAGATTCCACTTGGTGGTGTTACTAAAATATGTTCCACATCTGGGGAGTGGACAAACCAGTTCCTCAGTGACAAAGGGCAAGCTGACACCTAAGCCTAGTGTAAACAAGGTCAATAGGCAATTACTTGCTAAGTGGCTATTCTTTGGCAGGAAAGGGGACAAGGGTGAAAAATCTACTTAGCAAAGAAACAGCACGGAGTTCCCGTCCATGCAGTCACCTGTCACCATGCTCCCAGCTGGAAATGGTTCTCCAAAGGAAGACAGGACTATAAAAAGAAGGGGCAGACACCCCAATGTACCCCCTCCTCCTCGCTCTCTCTCTATCCATCGATTCACTGCACCCAAAGGAACAAAGGAAGCCGCCATTAAATAGAAGAAGGGGTCCTGGCCTAAGAAATTTGGCCAGTAAGACTGTTGAGAGCATGTGGCGAGAAAAACTTAGATTAGGCACTAGTTACTTATCTTTTTTTCTTGTAACCATTTCTGACTTTTATGCCTCATTACTTGTACTCACTTAATATCTATCTTTTTGTAGTTAATAAACTTGTTTTATTGTTTTATCTAATACAGTATGTTTAAATTGAAGTGTTTGGGAAGCTCCATTTGGGGTAACAAGATAGATGCATATCATTTCTGTTAATTAAATGATGGATTTTTTTATAAGCTTGTATTGTTAAGGAGAGGGCTGAACAGGACATATGTTTCTGGGGAAAAATCTGGGACTGGGAGTGTGCTGGAGTCACCCTGCAATGTAATTCAGGCTGGTAAGAGACTAGATGTGATTCGTTGGCTGCAGATGCGCACAAAGCTGGGAGTGACTTACATGTTGGTGGTTATTTTGTGAACAGTCCTGACTGGAGGCTGCAGCAGCAAAGCAGTGTAAAGGGCACCCCAGATTAGAGGGCAGGGGTGGCACAGCTACTCACTAGTCTGTATTGTACCTCAGATATGTCACAGCAGGTCACACCTCATTTACTCACCTTATAACTGAGAAAATCAGAGTTTGAGGGGTGGGGGAAATTTTATAAATATCTGCTGAAGACAGCCCTTTGACATCAGTGGCTCATTGATGCAAGCACATGCACATATCTGCTGTTGGATGGTTTTACTGACAACACTGAGAAATGTTTTGAAAATGAGAATGCTGATATT